TTTTTGAAGTAAAATGCTTGTAAATTGTATAATTAAGTGTATAACACGAAGATATACATTTTTGCATGTGTATATACAATTTTCTCTCGCTTTATACAAAACAGAAATAGAATTATACACTTCTGTGTATAAAGCGAGAGAGGCGAGCGAGAATGGAGAGTGGCAAACGAGATTCCTGGGAGAGAGACGCTGGCAAATTTTAGATAATGTTTGCTATGGAGCACAATTAAATCAAACCCTAGCTATTCTATTTAATTTAGGTTATTAGTTTGCTATTTTATACAATTTTCCCTTTTAAATTTCTTTCGTATGTTTACTTATTGGGCAACTTTCACATATAGAAAATAAAAAATTCATATTTGTATGCTATAGCAAATTTTGCATAATTGCGCTCCATAGCAAACATAGAAACTGTATAATTCGCTATACATATACAGTTGAAGCAAATTGTATAAAACGAAGTATATAAAACAAGAAAGAGAAAGACACTTGGGCAGAGAACTGTATAAAATTGAAGTGTATAAAATGAATTGTATTATTATAAGTGTATAGAACAATTATATACAATTTGAATTTGTATAAAATGAGAAAGAGAGAAAGACAAAAGAAACTTGACAAGGAATATACAATTGAATCGAATTGTATAAAACGAGAAAGAGAAAAATTAGATACAATTCGAAAATTGTATAAAACGAGAAAGAGAGAAAGACAAAAAAAACTGGGCAGGGAAGTATTTTTATTGTATATTATAAGTATATAGGACGAAAATATATGTACTTGCATGTGTATATACAATTTTCTCACGCTTTATACAAACAGAAACGCAATTTATACATCTCACTTCTATTTGTATAAGTGAGAAAGGCGAGGGTGGTGAGCGAGATTTGGGAGAATGGCGAGCAAGATCTGGGAGAAGGGAGAGAGAGGAACAAAAATATATGTATTTATACAATTTTCTCTACTTTATACAATTACAAACAATTTTTATACACTTGTATTTGTATAAAAAGTGAGGAAGCGAGCGAGAGATTGGAGGAGAGTGGCGCCTGATAATTTTTTTGCAAACGTTTGCTATGAAGCACAATTAAATCAAAACCCTAACTACTCCATTTATTTTAGATTATTAGTTTACTATTATATATAATTTTCCCTTACTTATTTATATTTAAAATTCTTTTAATAAAAATTTTAACTTCTTCACTAGTGAACCCTTATAAAAACAACTAGAAGCTTGAGATAAATGACAATAATAAGTGAAAGTATGGAATTTCTAATGAATTATCGATTTATTTATTTTTATAAATCAATTATAAAATTGATAACTTGATAAGAAAAATCTAAACCAATATCCAAAACATTAAATGAATAATTAAATTTGTATGATCTTAATTGCAAATTAGGTCAAAACAAACCTACAAACAAGTCCAAAAGAAACCAAGGCGGCAGTAGTAAAGTGAACCGACTTTAACTATTATTAATTTCCATCTGAAATTATAAATGTGTAGAGAAGATTTTGAATAACGCAAATTCAAATCACTTAAAAACTTCTTTTAGGAGATTCTTTATTGTTATTTCTGCTTTACTTTTTGTTTGTTTTAATTTAATTAGATAACAATAATTTAAAAAAATTATTTGATTCTTGCTAAATTTTGTTTGATTATTTCTACTTGTATGAATTTTACACACATAAGGAGCAAATTTCCTTTTTATTTATTTTGATAAGTTAGATGGTAATTATAAGAATGACTCCTACTTTCATAATGTGAAGGTTAGGTTTCACCTTCGTCCATCTCCGTTCACCTTTGACTTATTTATTGAATACTCAAAAAAAAAATTTAATATTTGTGTTTAAAAGTTAATTTGACTAATTTTTAAAGGTAAATTAGATCACATTAATTCAATATTTTAAACAAAAAATTAGATATTCTAAAACTATATGAAAAGTACTATGAATTACATTTTTTTCATATTAATATTATGAAAAAATGCAATCTTAAAATGTTAGTCAAATTTTTTTTTATAGTTTGACTCTAAAAATAGAAACCATGACAAATAATATCGGACGGAGAGAGTATAATTTTATAAATGAGGTCGCCAACATTATACTTACTTAGTAGACATTACCACCTTGTTTAGATTTGTTGTTACTTGTTAGATTGAATTGTATTGTTAGTCTAAATATAATGTTTATTTGATCATTACTTAAATTCTGTTGCATCGAAATATATTATTAGATAATGATGAAAAGATTCCTTTTGATTAGCGATCGATTTGATTAAATCGCATCGTTATCTTTACATATATTTCTTCTCATTTTTGTCTTTACTTATAATTCTATTTTAACATGATATCTCTATCATGTAACTTAAAATATCTCATAAATTTTATATCTAAATAAAAAATAGATAAAATATAACAAAAGAGTACAATATATCTTATCCAAATATTATAGTACATATTAATACAATACAATATAATATTTCTACACAATATAACGTAATACCATTATGTTATGAAATAAGTAAAATACATGACAATCATTCAAATCCAAATAAAGTGATACAAGTCTGCAACAAATAAATAACTTTACACCATATTTAGTGATAAATCATATAATTACTGCTATATTTTATAATAAACTTAAAATAAAGTTTTGTGCGCAATATTCTCTTCACTGTCCTATGTATTAATTATTATTATCATGTCTCAATTACTTCTTCGTTTAATAACAGTTATTTATTATATTTTTTAAAATATAATATTTTGTATAATATAACATAAATGAATAATTTTATATTTAATTTCTAATTTATCTTTATAATTAATTATATATCTTTTTTGTTATATTTCTCAAGATATTAAATTTATTATACTCAAATAATGATATTATAAAATTATTTTTTATTTATAATTTTTTAAAAAATATAGTAAATTAACCGTAGACAATTATTATTAGATAGAAAAATATATGACTTTTATCGTCTACCAAAAAACTATAGGGTTTCCTTTTCCAAGCGTACTTTTTAATTTCTTGAATGGTTTTCTTTACTAGTAGCAAGTGTTAACTTAAATCTTACTTGTTTGTATTTTAATGAATGTTCTAATTTTAATTATATATATAGTTATTAATTTAATTATTAAAATGAATATATAATTTAAATGAATTTTAATTATAAATAATTATATAATACATATAATATAGTCATTAAATATTATTTGACGTAATTATATTTGAGTAAATCGTTATCCGTTTTAAACGTACCGAAAAGATACTATAAACAAAGTTTTAACGCGTCCCAACTGTGTTGTGCCCCACACATGTAAACCGAGTATCCCACACATACCTCAATACTTTACTAAAATTTAATATTTTCCTACAAACTGCCAAAATATAATAATAAAACTAAACCGCCATAAACAATAAATGAACAATATACGGAGGCCCAATTTAACACAGCTTCAACTGGTATTATTTTTATAATTATACACAAAATGAATAAAAGGACAATTCATCTTGTACAACGCCCTAAATGGTAAGATTGTATCTCATACAGTGTACTAAATATACTATGTCACGTAGAAAATATATTTTTATCTATTTAATTTTTATAAAAGTTTAAGTGTTTATAAAATGTTGAAAAATATAATATCAATTGAATACAAGTTAAATATCATATTTATATATTATATCAATAATTAAACGTTCCTCTCATCAAAGATTACGATGAAGTAATATAAGTATTTATTTATTTTTAATTAAAAACATCGAATTCAAATCTCCCTAAATGTAAATTCATCTATATTAGAAATTACTCACCTCTGATATAAAACTTACGAAGATAATTTCAAATTTAATTTATTCATTTTTAGTTAAAAATATCGAATTCAAATCTCCGTAAATATAAATTCATCTATATTAGAAATTACTTACCTCTAATATAAAACTTACGAAGATAATTCCAAATTTAATTAAAATATAAATACCATAAAAAAAAATATCCTCAAAACACATGCACTTTGAACATTTTGACTACAAAATTCTTAACAACTAAGCCAAAATTAAAAAATACATAAAAACTAAACCGACCAAATTAAAAAATGCATGCTAAGTATTATATATTAAAAAACAAGTATTCACAGTTGTCTAAGGCAACTACCAAACATGGCATCAACCTCAACTTCACAAACCCCATCCAATATTATTAGTCCTTACTATGAAAATTGGCTTATTCAACTCCAATATTTTCTTGAAAAACTAAATGCAATTTCATCCTCATATGGTGGTGATGATGAAGAAGAAAATAGAAGCAATGAACTGGTGACACAAGTTTTGGATCATTACCAAGATTACTATAGAGAAAAATTCAATTCAACAAATAGAGATGTATTTCTTTTAGTTTCTCCACCATGGTATACTTCTTTAGAAAAAACATTTCTTTGGATTGCTGGTTTTAAGCCTTCTACACTTTTTCCAACTATTAATTACTCAATAGGTTCAGAATTGACAACAGAGCAATGTGAAAATTTGAAGAGGCTAAAAGCAGAGACTAAAAGAGAAGAAAAGGTAATGTAAGTTGTTTTGGATATATTTTCATTTATATATTTTTTCTGTTAAATTAAACAGTGTCACGTTAAATGAGACAGAATGAAACTTGTTTTCACTTGTGAACCTTTACCTTTTATCCTAGCGTGAATTTGAATTTATTTGAACTTCAATAATATCGAACGAAATGAAATTTTTTAAATCTAAAAATGGAGTTGCGATGTTTGATCAAAATTTGGAATAGGTAATTGAGAAAGGGATGGCGAAGGTACAGGAAAAAGTGGCGGCGCCGCCGATATTTGAGCTGATGAAAAGAGGGGGAACGGTGGTGGACGGAGAGGCGTCGGAATTGGAAAGTGTAATTGATGGGATGAAGCATTCGATGATGTCAATGGTGGAAACAGCAGAGCATTTAAGAGGATCGACGGTGAAGAACATTCTAGATATTCTCCGGCAAAAACAGGCCGTTAAATTGTTGGCGGCGGTAGCTCAATTTCATCTTCAGGCCAGAAAATTGGGTTTACAAATGGATATTCAGAGTGCTAAAAGGATAAATGAAGATTTTATCAATTGATATCACAAAGGAAAAAAATGTTCAAAAATATAAGTGTAGTTAGTTCTAGAATATTGCTAGGAAATATTTAGTTTTTGTATTATCCGTCCAGCTTTACTTATTCAGTATTTGACTTGAGACGTGCTTTAACTTTTAAAGAGCAATAAATAAAATGAAAATTTCTTATATGATTATAAGAAATACCTTTAAAAAGTAATTGTATAAATAAACTAATTATATCTTGATCTTTTAAGAATCAAATAAGTAAAAAGTAAACGAACGGAGTTAGTTTTTAGAAAAAGGAGTCTAAGATGGTCGTGTGATATAATGCTCTTGAGTTTTGTAGAGTATGTCATTCTTTTTAATGATATTCTTGATTTTCTTTCATTCTTATAGAAGTTATACTATACCTTTTTAGTTTTATTGCTCTAAGTACAAAGTAAAACATGTGCTTACATGACATTAATAACTTAAAAAAATATATTATTGAGACAAGTGTTAAAAATATATTTATATTATATTTTTTTGAGTTCCATATCTAAACTATTGAAAGTTTGAATTTCATACCTGAGTTATTAATTTTTAGTTTGAAAAACATACTTCTCTTTCTTATACCATTCTCATCATGGTATGTGTGAGATACTCTCTCTTTTATTTTAAATAATTTCCACGTAATACTTCATATAAATAAAATATTTAATCTTGACCAAAAGAAATTATTAGTATTAGTTAAATTAAAAATTTAAAAATTATTATAAAAACATAATATTTTTTTTATAAAATAAAATGTAAAATATTCTTCTTACTCCACATCATCACATCCTTTCATCTCCCCCACCGCCACCGCCACCATCTTTTTAAGTTTAGTATTTTGTTTAAATTTCTTGTATAAAAGTATTTTTTTTAATTTTATCTCCCCCCCCTCCTCCTCAAATACTAATTTAGATATTATTTCATTTTCTTAAAAAAAATAATTCTACTCATCCCACTTAATCCTTTGCTTTCAATTTTTTTTAGTTTTTAAGTATACACATCGAAAATATTTTTACTTGTCGCCACAAGACTTTTTAAATTTTTTAGTCATTTATGTTATATTTGGTATACTAGTGAAATTTTTTTCTAAAAATATATGTACATGTATATCTAATACAAAATGAGAAAAATATAAAATAAAAATAAAAATTAGGAGCGGAGGATTAATAAATAGAATGGGATAAATTTTTATTTTTTAAAATAAAATAATATCAACTTCTATGGGGAGGAGGGGACGGGGGATGAATGGTTTTTTTTTTTTGGAGGGGGAGGGAAGGATTATGAAATAATTAAAAATATTTTATAAATGATTTATTTTTTTAAAAAAAGGTAAAGGGGTTGTCGTGGGGAGGGGGGGGGGGGTACGTAGAGGAGGTTGTGGAGTGGGGTAAGAAAAATAATTTAATTTTTTATATGAATAGTAAAGTTTTAATCTTTAATTTTCAATTAATATTAATATTTTATTATTTAATTTTTATCTAGGTAAAATATTTTATCTATGTGAAATATCATGTGTCAAGATTTTTTCAAATAAAAGAGAGAGTGCATTGCACAGACCACTAAGGTGTTGTGTGTTTCTCAAACTAAAGAGTGATAGTTTAGGTATGAAACTCACGCTCTTAATAGTTTAGGTATGCAACTCAAAAAAAGTGAATAGTTTAGCTGTGTTTTTGAACTTTATCTCTATACTATTTTAATATATTAGTTTTAATCATAGAAAATTACAGAGTTAACAAACATAATATATAAAATAAGATTTAATGACTATATTTACGATAATCATGCTTTATAGTTAAAGTTTTATTTTTCTGTGAAAATTGTAATTTATATAATTCTTTTCGTATATATTTTGCTTGCTAATATACAAATAGACAACTAAAGCCCTAATCGAGCCCAACACAGCAATTTCCTCTATATAATGGGTCAAGAATGGGGTTTTCGTGATTGGATTTTACAAGCAACATTGGCCAGACTATGCAAATTGTGGCCATGCATGTAACAAGATACTTTTTCTTCCCAGAAAGTTAATTTTTCTTTCTTTTATTAAAAAATTACGGTGAATTTATATAAATTTTATTAGTTTACGAGTTAATTATTTAGTTATACTCTACTTTGTGATATTGTGTGTCTTACCGGCTTTTGATGCACTCTAATATGTAATTATCAGATTTAGGTATATCTTTTTCAATATATATGATAGAAATTCTTAATTAGTGGAAAAAATATAATATTTTGAAAGTATATATAATAATAATATATACACTAATAGAGTATGTCTACTTATACAAAGATAATATGATTCATAACATCACATATTTTTCATTTTATACGTATATCAGTCAAACGAAAACGCATAAAACGAAATAAAAAGAATTTGCAATTTTTTCGAGAGTAGTATATAGTCCTACACTATATTGACAAAATAAATGAAGCGACTAATGCAAAAGGGACCCTACAAAATCTCCCAATAAACACACCAACCAAAAGGAACAAATCAAAAAGTTAAAAAAAAGACTATTACTCTCCACTTAGCTAAAAAAATGTGAATGAATAAGGATAGTAGAATAGAATGATATGTTTGTGCTGAATTAGATGAATGTAATTTTTATTAATTATTGTGGAAAAGTGGAATATGCACTTGTAAATGAATGTTTGGATGTTGATATTTCTGTTTCAATACGAAGGTATAATTATATAATATAATCGCGTAAAGTATAAGATTGTTGAAATCAAATTATTGTATAATATAAAAGAAAATGATTCGACATACAACATTCTAAAACTTTACGCAAAATTTGAAAAAAGACTATACCTTAAATTATATAATATATAGACAATTTATCTAAATACAAATATTATTACGAGAAGTTTAATCTATTATGCCAGTCAAACACTCATGTTTCATGGTCCAAGCCACTGGGCTCTCTAGTGCTGAGTCTGCTGACACTTAAAAAACTTATTTTCAAACAGAATAATTGTTTGTTCCATTGTGTCATCCTATCATTATAGTTGTTTAAAATTAAATTAATTATTCAAGATTTCTTGGTATCCACAATTTTATCCAATTCGAGAGATAATAAATGGTTTTGTGGTCCATTTAAAAAGAGTTAGGATTGTTTAATGAAATTATTGTTTTATGTTCCACTTTTAAACAGCATTTATCGTGGATTTTTACCTTTTTGTTGACTAATTTGTCAAGTGTAGAGTCTAAAAAGTAATAGGACCATCAGCAGCCAGTTACCCTTTTTAAGTGGAGTATCAAAAAATAAAAATTGATATCTACATTACATATTGGGTTAATCCACGTTCACTAAGTTCATTTTATAAATGATTTCGAAATAATCAGACTCTAATATATATATATATATATCGAACGATAAATAAAAAATACTATACGATGGTACTCAAGTAATTACATATTGGAGGACTATAGTCTATCTAGTATTACTCATAGTGATTATAATATACCTTCGACCAATTAATATCGCGTTCTCCTTTGCTGCTATGAAGGAAAGCGGTATAGATAGAAAAACACAAGTTCCAAGTAAGCGGCTTATAAAGTGTGGCTTATATTCTGTTGGGTTTTAAAGGTATAAATAGAAAGTGAAGAATTGTGATTTTCTTATGATTTTTACTAAGAATAACGACCTTTACGAAAGGCTATGTCTTTTTTAAACGGTTGTGATCATTCAAAAAGTAGTGACCTTTCTGAAAGGTTATCTCTTTTTCAATTAGTTATTACATTTTCATTAAGGCACAATTACCATATTTAAAAAATACAGAATTAAAAGACATTTTGCTACATTTGACATGTCTTAATTTCTTACCACACGATTTAATTTCTTTTACTTTTTTTAAATTTCATGTCAAGTCAAAATAAGACATATAATTAAAACGAAAAGAATTTACTTTAAAAATTTAATAGAACATTCTTATTAGTTAAAGTGGTAAAAACCCATCATTTGTTTAGTTGTCTCACAATGGTTGTATAAGAATTTCAAAAAAGAGTTTACAACTCATTGTCCTATCTAGTTATTTAATTTGGTATTGTGTTCGTCAAAGTCTTATTGAATGCTTTCATATATTCTCATATAATATAGTAAAAGAGTTAATTAAACTTTAATAAATCTATGTTTGTATATGTTTCTCATCCATCTTTTACACTATCATTCTAGGTTAGCTTTTCACGTTTTTTTCAAGTTTATTGCCCATGCGGCATTGGCACTGTAATTCATATATATCCATACAATATATGAAAGTACGTTATCAATTATATATTCAATATAATTGTATACGTAAAGTCTGAAAAGTAGGTAAAACATAGACCTTATTCCAGTTGAAGTTTAAAAAGACAATAAATATATAGACCTTATTTTAATTTTACGAAGATAAAAACAATAATTTAGAAAAAGTCTCAAAATAAAATAAATCAAAGAATATTTTAATACGAAGAAGCCATGTTGACTTTGTCAATAAATTTTCGAACATGAAATAAATGAAAGTAATTTTAAATGCAAGTAGCAAAATATTGTATGGTGGTCCTTTGATGATTTCTTGGTCAGACTTACTAAATGCTATAGTATCACTCTTTTTGACTAAATTCGTTTAATCTATTTAAAAGATAATAAAAGGAAAGGAAAAATATTTCATATTCAAGAAGCTCAATTAATGATGTCTTGTTGATAAATGCAAATAATTGAGCTATGCTATTCAACATTCAAACAACACAGAAATCATGTCTCTGAGGAGTACTATATTTTATGAAAAGTAAAGTTGACTGAAAAAAAAAAAGTTATAAGGGGCTCCATATACAAGGGAAAATATAAAAATAAAAAAGCTGAAGCCAGTTATTAGACAGAACTATGGTTGAATTATTATTATTTATTAAAAGAAATGAAAATGACTCAGAAATACGCTTAAATTATTTGAAATGACTCATATATATCTTTAAATTTTATTTCGATTTAAAACTATCCTTCTCGTCATACTATTGAGTCAAATGTACCCTTCTTATTACTCCTCCCCCCCCCCCCCTCTCCCCCCTCATTTCATAATTTCCAGAAACGATATATTCACCCGTGCTC